TGACACTATATCATGTGCTTATACATCGTGTGTGACCTGTCCATCGTATTTATACATCGTGTGTGCCTATGTCATGTGTTATACATCGTGTGTGACACTATGTCATGTGTTATACATCGTGTGTGACACTATGTCATGTGTTATACATCGTGTGTGACACTATGTCGGATAGGTTATACATACGTGTGTTGACACTGTCATTGTGTTATAATCGTGTGCGACACTATGTCATGTGTCATAATAACGTGTGTGACACTATGTCATGTGTTATTACAACATCGTGTGTGACACTTATGTCATGTGTTATACTCTGTGTTGTGCACACTATCTGTCATGCTGTGTAACACTCGTTGTGTACACTAGTATCATGTGTAACAAATCGGTGTGTGAGCACTATTGTCAGTGTGTGCATAACGTCGTGATGTGACACTATGATCATGTGTTATACCATCGTGTGTGACACTATGTCATGTGTTATACATTCGCTGTGTCTGACACACTGTCATGTGCTTATATCATGCGTGTGCTGACACTATGTCATGTTGTTATACATTCGTGCTGTGACACTATGTTCATGGTTATACATTCGGTGTGTGACAGCACTTGCATGTGTTATACATCGTGTGTGACACTATGTCATTGTTATAATCGTGTGTGACACTATGTCATGTGTTATACATCGTGTGTGACAGCATATTGTCCATGTGTTATACATCGTGTGTGACACTATGTCATGTGTTATACATCGTGTGTGACACTATGTCATGTGTTATACATCGTGTGTGACACTATGTCATGTGTGTTATTACAATCGTGTGTGACACTATGTCATGTGTCATACATCGTGTGTGACACTATGTCATGTGTTTTCCATCGACAGCCGTCATCAAGCTTCACGCAGCAGAGATCGCCCAGCAGGAGCAAGACGAGACGAAACCAAAGTTCTCCACGTCGACCACAGGTGGCGCTGTTTCCTATATAATATAATAATAATAAAAACCTATAAATAAATAAATTTCCTATATAGTCACCACTAATACACACATGTGCTCTCACATCCATCAGTTAGATCATCGCTAATCTATAAAATTAATGAAATCCATTTAAAATTATATAATAATATACAAAACTAGAGCACTCGGAGAGCACAGACCTCTGCCAAGGCAGCTCAATTCTCTCACGCTGTGAAAATTTTTATTAATTTGATTAATTAATTAAATAATTAATTGGATGCCGGTTCACCACCAAATAGTGTAATCAATTCTAAGTTACCCCCATTCTGAACCTATCCTGAAAATTTTATTAATTAATTAATTCATTCATTCATTAATTGGATCTCCGGTTCACCACCAAAATGTAATCAATTGCTTAGTTACCCCATTTCCTGACCCTATGCCTGAAAATATTTATTAATTAATTAATTCATTCATTCATTAATTGGATCCGGATCACCACCAAAATGTAATCAATCTAAAGTTAGCCCATTGTCTGACCTATCCTGAAAATCTTTATTAATTAATGTAATTCATTCATTAATTAATTGGATCCAGGATCACACCAAAATCTAATCAGATTCTAAGTTAGCCCATTTCTGACCTATCCTGAAAATTTTATGACAATCCGTCTATAATTTTTTTAGTTAGGCTGTACACAAACAAACAAACGCACAAACCCACCAAACAACACACACACGCGGCCGGTGAAAACATAACTCCTGCCAACCCCTTGGCGGAGGTAATTATATGGATATTGATATTATATATTGATCTTATTATATTAAGTAAGTAAGTGTATAAGGGTGTGAGAAGGAAGTATACTCTACTGACTAAATGAATATATTGTCATTGAAAAAAAGTCAGATAATACAAAATACAAAAATATGTATACACGCATGTAATACACTTTATAAAATAACATGCATTAAACACGAGTAGGGCGAGATTAATAGCAAGTAGTGGGTAACCGCCGACGATGGTTCGTTTCGATCAATCTGCCGCCGATTTCTCGCCGTGTTCTAACGTCTTTCTATGCGTCTGCCTCGTCATGGCGATGATGCGGTTGTCGTCGGCGACGCGTGATGCAGACGAGATCGAGCGCTGCTTCGCCGCCAGAGCTGCGCGTGAACCTGCCTCATGAACTCCTGGAGCATCTCGACAAAGTTGATGTACAACGCCTACGAGGGCTGCCGCCGTCAGCATGATCCCGCGCCAAAGGTAAGGGAGGCACACACGTCGGCGCCGCCGCATTCTACGCCGAGTGAATTCGAAATGAACACCACTACAAAGTATTCGTTATAATATTGTATGATAAATTATAACGTATAAATATAATAATAAATTATAAATATTTTTGATGTGAAATAATGAATTGATTTCAAGATAACGAGATGCATGCGTTCGTTAGCGTCCGTCCAGTAAGTGCGGGCGTGGAGTATACCCCCCGCCAGTGGTCGAGCATGGAGTACAGCGGCCCCTGGTGTTTGTTGTCGGCGCAGGTCGTGCGGACGTTCTTCCGGACGAACCGGGCGACGTGTCAGGAGTGGCTGCACCGCTGCGCGCCGCCGCCGTACAGGTGGCGCTGCACTGCGGCTGCCGGCCGTCGCCGTGCATCACGCGCACTGGCAGCTGCCTAGCCGAGATTGAAGGCCGCCGCTGCGACCGCAGGGTGAGCGTGGCGCCCCCTTGTAGTTGGGGCTCCGACTGTTGTGTGGCTTGTGGTGTTGTATGATGATAGTGCTGGCTGCTGCTGCTGATGGTGATGGTGGTGATGATGATGATGATAGTGATGATGATGGTGATAGTATTGTTGCTGCTGAAGATAGTGATAGTGTTGTTGCTACTGGTGTAAGTGCTGCAGCTGCTGCTGCTGATGGTGATGATGATGACGGGGGTGATGGCAATGATAGTGATGATGATAGTGATACGGCTATTGATTCCAATGTTATTGCTGCTGCTGCTGCTGCTGCTGCTGATGATGATGATGATGATGACAATGGTGACGATGATGGCAGTGATGATACCGCTACTACTACCACTGCTAATAATGACGGCGGATCTTATGTCATCACAGTATCTGCTCACCCTCCCACTTACTCCCGCTTACTGTTACAGACGGCACAGTTTGAGCAGGTCGTCTGCTGGGCGGTGCTGGCGCTGGTGCGACTGCGGTGTGGCGACGCTATCCAGGGTGTGTACGCGTGCTCGCTAACCTCAGCTCAGCTGGATCAAACCCTGCATCGACATGGCGTCCGGCAGGTGCGTGGGTCGCGCGCGCGCGCGGTCGTACACATGCAACACGATGCAACATGATGCAACACGAAACAACACGATACAACATGATACAGCACAGATCAACGTAATACATAAAACACTACAATGCAGCACCGTGTAATACATACAACACCACAACACAACATATACAACATATAACAACAACACAACACAATACGAGACAACTTAAGACAACACATAACACGGTACAACATAACACACAATACGTAATACATACGATACATGTAACACATCAGAAAACGCAACACAACACAACACGAGAAAACATGATACAAGACAAACCGTTCGTGTTGCAGAGCTTTCGTGAAGCAGACGTGCTGTCGATGGACTGCATAGATATTAGATAACTACTGCTATACTACTCTATATACTACCTGCATATATATATATATATATATATATATATATATATATATGTCTGCATCTTGTCTGCAGGTACGAGCTGGCAGCGAAGGAACTGCGTGCGCTCGTGGAAGCTTACAGCGAGTCTCTCGCCGTCGACCAGCCGGACACCGACCCCCCTCCCACCTCCTCGGTCTTCGTCCCGCCCCCCAGCCCCACTCACAAGGCCGCCCCGGAGCACGACCCCTTCATTGGGAGGTTCCTCGTGCAGCAGGTGAGTGTGGTGTCACAGATGCGACCTTGGCACCGACCTTGGTGCTGCTTGTCCTTGCCTAGAGGTCGTTGACACTGTACCATGTTGCCCATGATTGCTGCTAACGTTCTCGTGTTTGTTAAGTTAACAAACTTCGGCAATTTGAATGTGAAATTTTGGATTCGAAGTAAACGTTGGGTAGTCTGGGGTCTTGGGTAACGTCGTGGGTTCACGATGGCTGACTGCTGCTCTCTTTTTTGTCGCTTTGCGGCTTTATGACATCCAACGGCTGCTCTCTTGGTGTCGCGCGATGGCTGATGACTGCTCTCTTGTCTCCGCGCGCGCACGTGACAGGTCGCCGAGTGCTACGTACAGCTGGGCAGCTGGACGGAGGTGCTGCGCTGGCAGGAGCGCGTCAAGGACATGAGGAACGAGCACGGTGGCGCACCCACGCAGCAGGCGTTTACGACCACGCTCGACACCAACTACGTGAGGTACGTCTAACAACGTACAGTTAGTGTGTGAGACAAGATGGAGCCTCAGATGTGGACTTTGTCTCCAATCTGATCTCGGTACAAGAGGGGGTGGGGGTTGGGAGCAGGTATTGTGGGTTGTAGACGTGGGTAAGGCCTCATATTAACATTTAATGGTTACCGTTAATAGTTTTTTGTCGACCGACCAAAGGTTTAATCGTATAATATGTATATTATGTATATATAATATAAGGTGTGTTATATATATATGTTATTGTTGGTGGGTGGGAGCAGGGCGCTGTCATCGTTTGAGCAGCGTGACTACAGGCAGGCGGACACACACCTACAGCTCGTGTCGGATGAGCTGCTGCACGCGGGCGTTGCCTGGGAGCAGCACGAGCTCATCGACTGCTGCGACAGACACCTCCTACGTCAGGCCACCAACCTGGCGCTCGGCAAGAAGCTGTGAGTACGGGTTGCCGCGGCGACGCATCGGCGTCGGCCAGCGGTCGAATCGAGTCGCGATTGTTTTTGTTGTTGTTGTTGCGATGTGCCGACTTCTCACACATAATATGTGAAGGTCGCACTCATGATTGATATGAAGTAATCACCTTCATAATTAACGAGGTAATTACCCTCGTAATTAACGAGGTAATCACATAATTAATATGTAGTAATCACACCAAAAATAAATATGAAAAATTCATATGTTAATAATTTATAATAATGTGAAACAGATAATTAATGCTATCATGTCTATGTGCGTTGATCAGATCCATCAGACCCAAAATATTTCCTGCCTTGACTCGTGGCACCTCTGACCCGTGGTTTCTCTCTCTGTTTGCCTCAGGTCGGCTGTTCCCACTGAGCTAGAGAACATCATGTCGCTAGCGCACTCTGTCTTGAGGATCGGTGTGCTGGACTCGCCACCGCTGCTCTGTCCGGAGGCAGTTATCATGGCGCAGTGCGCGGAGATGCTGCAGCCTTTAGCAGCCAAGAAGGTAAGCCGCACAGGTTGAATCTGAATGTTGATCCTCACAAGAACTCCATATTTCTTGCTCGGAGTATGTGAGAGAGCATCAGTTTAATGCCAGTCAATCAATCTGTCAATTGAAAAGAAATTTCGCTTTTGCTAGCGACTACACATCTATTTCTACAGATTGATCGACACTTTGCCTAGTTTCCCCATGTGTCGCAGCTGCCATCACACATGGCATTGTTGTCATCGTTGTTATTGTTGTTGTTATTGTTGTTGTTGTTGTTATTGTTGTTGTTGTCGTGTTTGTAGACAGCGGGTGCGTTCCCGTTCAGAGACACCATCGCGCTCGACCCGCAAGATCACTATGCACGACACCTGGGCATCGCCATCCGATACGTCGCCTACGCCGCCAGGAAGAAACAAGAGAATGGTAAGCATCGTGCCGTCAACGTTTCACACGTGCGCAGAGAAAGTAGTGAGAGGCGCTGTTGTTATCGCATGGCGAGAATAGTGAGACACGATTGGTCAATTGTTCTCTCGTGGCAGCGGTGGCGAGGACTGGCGATTGGTCCATTGTTATCACGTGGCGAGAATAGCGAAGACGCGTGATTCGCTCGTGATGACGTCACCCCGTTTTCTCGCTCTTGCGCAGGTCTGGCAACGGAACTCGCGCAGCGCCCCCTGGCCGAGCTCTACCTCACGGGCGCCTCGCTCGCACGCAAGCAGCAGAATCTCTCGCTCGCCCGCGACCTCATCCTCGCGCTTGTCGCCGACCGCGCGACACCAGAGGGCGCCGTCGTCGTGCGCGACGTGCAGGGGGCGCTGCGTGCGGTGGCGTCGGAGGGCGGCGGCATCGGGGCGCGTGACTGCGTGCGTCTGCACAGAGAGGGCGCCAAGCTGCTCTCGTCGCTCGGACAGACGCGCGAGGCGGTGGAGGCGGCGTGCGGCGGCGTCGTCCACGTCGTCAAGGACTTTGTCGGCAGCGGTGAGTGCGACTCGAGGCGGCGGTTGTCCCCGGCAACGGTCGCGGCATCGCGTTGTCTTGTGGAAGCGGGAGAGCTCATTTTGACGTGTTTTGTTATTAATCTTAATAATTTAAATCTTATTAGAATTGTGTTATTTACCTACCCACTGAAATCGATCGTTAGTGGTTATATAAGTGGCGTTGTAGAGATTGCAGGCTTACATAGATACAGCAGTACAGTCAGGTCTGTCTGAGGCAGGGTATTAGCCAGGAATGAGTATTGTGGGAGCGCAGAAAAAATATTTGGTAGTGCAATTTGTTTGTATGTGTGTCTTTAGATCAATATTTTAGGCCGTGCTACACATTTTTGGCCGTGCAGTTTCAAAACTGATCGCGCAAATCACGGCTGCACGGCTCGCTGGCTAATACGTTGGTCTGAGGTCAACTCTAACAGACAGGCGTGCGCCCCCTAGTGCCACCTAGTGTCATACGACAAAACTATAACGAGGTGAATCGTTGCTATTGCCGGGTCGGCAGTCGCCACGGTAACGGCGTGATTGACAACTCCTCGTGCGCTCGTTCCCCACAGGCGCACAGCTGGCAGAGTGCCAGGAGCCGATGGCTCGCTCCCTTCTCGACATTGCCAAGTGGCTGCAGCAGGACCAGAAACACCTAGCCTCGCTCGCCGCACAGCTAGGCATGCTGGGACAGGGCGATGGCGTCGACGCGCCGCTGACGGCAACCGCTGCTAGCCTCGCGACGCTTCTCGCGCGACAAGAGGACATCCGCAGGGTGGACGGCGACGGTAGGTGGCAACTCTTGGGGCAGGCGCGCCCGTGGGATTAGGATAAAAATCCTGATTTGATGGGATTGCTTTTAAACTGGTGGAAAATTCCTAGTAGTTTGTACTGGAATGGCTAAACATGGAGTATTATGCAGCGATTTTATCGGAATGAGTAAATAAAGCCGTCACTGTATTTTTATACTTTATATCTTGTCCAAAAATATTAAATAAAAAAAATACGAGAACATTATATGTAGTGTTTTTACTACAAGCGTTACTAAATACATCCTATAACTCATGCGCGGTGCCTCGATCAGCAGACGCATGACCGGTATTTCTTCGACTGCGATATTTATAGACTGAATAGATAGTCTTACTAAAAAAGTAGTCACTCATAGCACTAAACATTTCATTAAACCCCTTGCCTGATATTATTAATAATCATCATAATAAAACTACTAATAAAAACTGATAGTAATAATAACAACGCGCTCGGAGGACGGTGCGATCACGGAGTGACGCTCCTTCGTTGCAGACTGGAAGATCGCGGCGTCGTCGGTCGTCATGGAGACGGACGCGGTGCTCGGGCGTCTGCTGCACCTGAGCGCGCTCACGGCGCCGGGCCTCGCGAAGGCGTGGTCGGCGCTCGCGTCCTGGTGCTACAAGTGGGGCCGCAAGTCTGTGGACAATGCGAGCCATGGCAGCGTGGGGCTGCTGCCCGCCGAGCAGGAGGCCATACTTGACCTGCTGCCCAAGGTCAGTGCATTTCTGACCTATTCTGAAAATTTAATTAATTAATTAATTAATTGGATCCGGTTCACCACCAAAATGTAATCAATTCTAAGTTACCCCATTTCTGATCTAGCCTGAAAATTTTATTAATTAATTCATTCATTCATTCATTAATTGGATCCGGATCACCACCAAAATCTAATCAATTCTAAGTTAGCCCATTTCTGACCTATCCTGAAAATGTTATGACAATCCGTCTATAACTTTTTCAGTTAGGCTCTACACAAACAAACAAACGCACAAACCCACAAACCAACAAACACACGCTGGTGAAAACATAACCTCCTGCCAACCCCTTGGCGGAGGTAATTATATGGATATTGATATTATATATTGATACTTATTATATTAAGTGAGTAAGGTATAAGGGTGTGAGAAGGAAGTAACTCTTCTGAATAAATGAATATTTGTCATTGAAAAAATGTCAGATAATACAAAATACAAAAATATGTATACACGCATGTATACACTTTATAAAATAACATGCATTAAACACGAGTAGCGAGGATTAATAGCAAGTAGTGGGTAACCGCCGACGATGGTTCGTTTCGATCAATCTGCACGATTTCTCGCGTGTTCTAACGTCTTCTATGCGTCTGCCTCGTCATGGCGATGATGCGTTGTCGCCGGCGACGCGTGATGCAGACGAGATCGAGCGCTGCTTCGCCGCCAGACTGCGCGTGAACCTGCTCATGAACTTCCTGGAGCATCTCGACAAGTTGATGTACAACGCCTACGAGGGCTGCGCCGTCGCCATGAATCCCGCGCCCAAGGTAAGGGGGCAGCACCGTCGGCGCCGCCGCATTCTACGCGAGTGAATTCGAAATGACACCACTACAAAGTATTCGTTATAATAATTGTATGATAAATATAATCATATAAATATAATAATAAATGATAAATATTTTTGATGTGAAATTAATTGATTTAAAGATAACGAGATGCATCATTTGCGCGTCCGCGTCCAGTATGTGCGGGCGTGAAGTATACTCCCCGCTAGTGGTGAGCATGGAGTACAGCGCCCCCTGGTGTTTGTTGTCGGCGCAGGTCGTGCGGACGTTCTTCCGGACGAACCGGGCGACGTGTCAGGAGTGGCTGCACCGCGTGCGCGCCGCCGCCATACAGGTGGCGCTGCACTGCGGGCTGCCGGCCGTCGCCGTGCATCACGCGATGGAGCTGCTAGCCGAGATGAAGGCCGCCGCTGCGACGCAGGTGAGCGGTGGCGCCCCCTTGTTGTGGGGCCCCCGACTGTTGTGTGGCTTGTGGTGTTGGTAATGATGATAGTGTTGCTGCTGCTGCTGATGGTGATGGTGGTGATGAAGGTGGTGGTGGTGATGATGATGATGATGGTGGTGATGATGATAGAATGGCTGTGGATTTCTGCTACTGTTTTTGGTGGATATATGCTACTAAAGTGGATTTTATGCTACTATATTAGTAGGCAAGTATCAAACGTGTGGGATACTTGCCTACTAATGTGGATTTGTGCCTAGCTATTTGGATTTCTGTCTACTAAATGTGGATTTTCTGCTAACTCGCGTTTCCTTGAATCTCATTGTTGAGCGCAAAGAATTGGTTGCTAGAGACCTGTTTGTCTTTGACAGTGGTTTCTTTGCAACAAAGACAAGGAATTTTCGTAACACCGAGATTACTTAAGCTCTGCTTTCTACTAAATGTTCATGATCTAAAAATAAATGCGAAAAATTTAATTAAATTCTTTAATTCTAAATGCTTTATGCAGTATGGCAACGTTTAATTTAAATGATTCCGATCTGTTCTTGCTGAAAATCGTGACAGTATCCGAATAAATTAGTTGAATAGAATAGTTGAAATGTAATAGTAATATTAATTAAACGAAAACCCAGAGCAAAGAATATAAGTAATATAATATAACAATCTACTATAATAAAGAGAGAGAGAGAACGAGAGCGAAGGGCGCATACAGAGAGAGCGAGAGAGAGAAAGCGAGAAGAAAGAGAGTGATGTGAAAGAGAGAGCGCGAGAGAGAGCGAGAGAAAGAGTGAGGGCGAGCAAAGAGAGGAGAGAGAGAGAGATATGAGCAGAAGAGAGAGAGAAAAAAGAGAAGAGAGAAGAGAAGAAAGAGAGAGAAAAGAAAGAGAAGAGAGGCGGGAAAGAGAGCGAGCGAGCGAGAGCGTGAGAGAGAGAACGATGAGAGAGAGAGAGAGAGAGAGAGAGAGAGGAGAGAGAGAGCAGAGAGGAGAGAGAGAGAGAGGGGGGAGAAAAACGGGAGAGAGAGAGAGTGAGAGAGGTGTGAGAGAGCNAGAGAGAGAGAGAGAGAGAGAGAGTGAGTGAGAGAGCGATAGCTAGCTAGCTAGCTAGATAGATAGATAGATCGATAAATAGATAGATAGATAAATAGATAGATCGATAAATAGATAGATCGATAAATAAATAAATAGATAGATCGATAAATAAATAGATCGATAAATAGATAAATAGATAGATCGATAAATAGATAAATAGATAGATCGATAAATAGATAAATAGATAAATAGATAGACGGATAGACGGATAGACGGATAGACGGATAGACGGATAGACGGATAGACGGATAGACGGATAGACGGATAGATAGACGGATAGACGGATAGATAGACGGATAGATAGATAGATAGATGGATAGACGGATAGATAGATAGATGGATAGATATATAGATAGACGGATAGACGGATAGACGGATAGACGGATAGATAGATAGATAGATAGATAGATA